TATCTCAAAATAAAAATGCATTCATGTTAAAAAATCAGATCATAAGGTGGAAGCTGGGGCAACAGACCTTGGAAGGTAGACAAGACCCTCCGTAAGCCAGCCAGCCCAGGCACTGGGAGTGCTGGGGGAGCTCAAGAGTTAAAGATTTCGTTTTCAGCTGATAGGCTTACGTGATCAACGCAGTGGAAGGCTGTTCTGTTCCTCCAGGAACTGGAATGCACGACTCCAGGAGCTCCACAAGCAGTCCCACCTTTGTGGCCAGGTGTCTGCGAGCCCTGGGGAGGGTATCTGAGCCATCGTGTTCCCAGAGGGAACACCTGTGACACAGGTGAGGAAGTACTAGGAAGATCACTGGTGGACTGCAACTCTTACCCAATTAACCTTTTATCCGAATCCCTTACCTACCCTTCCTTCTCCCCGGGAAATGGTTGGGTTAAGACCTTGAAGTGCGAGTTAAGACCATTCTTGAGGTTACATAACTCACCACCTTCCCAGCTCGCTGACCATCTGAATAGAGTGCCCATAAAGACTCAGTCTCTGTCTCTCCTCACCGGGGCTGGCGGTGCCAGCCACACAGGTGCAGGCTTCTCCGGTTGTAAGAGTAATCGGTTTTCAATGTCTGATGTTCAAGTCAGTGCCTTCTGAAGATTAATGGAGTTTTATTAACTTTGTGTCTCCACACCTTACCTTTCTCTCCAAATTGACTTTAAAAAAACCCTTCTGGGTGTTGGAGGCTTACGGAAGGGCAGAAGCAGCCTGGAGATGGGTGGGGGGATGAGGGGGCGCAGGGCCACTGGGAGGGGGGCAGCAGGCCAGTCTGCATGGGCCGCCTGTAGCAATGAGATCCATCTATTCAGGGCTGTGAAAAGCGAATTATATGGAGGCTGCCTGGAAAAAAATCCCATGTGGTCCAAACATCAGCCTTCGCCTTTCAAAGAGCCCTTTCTTGTTTTGACGTTCCATTGAAACATAGAAAAGCACACAGCTTGCAGTGCATCATAAGCACCATGGATTTTCAGTAACAGCACACAGTGTATTCAATGTCCAGCTCTAGAAAGTCACCCCAGAAGCTGCCTTCATGCTCCCTTCCGCTTACACGAGCAGGGGTGTACATTATGCGCTTCTGAGCCTGGCTTACTTTGATCACCATTGTGAGATCCTTCTGTAAGGCTTTTACTTGCAGATCTTCATTCCCATATTGCTCTCCATACTCTGTTTGCAGATATGCTGTGGGTGGAAAAGGGTTCCATGGAAAGGAACCGCATGAATTCCCAACCAGACAGGTCATGCTGGTGGTCACGCCCCAGGCCTATGACTTCTTTAGTGAACAGTTTTAAGACAGCCTTGGCCATTGTCTGTGCATCTAGGTTAATGCATCTTTGAAATAAACCTTAGCCACCCTCAAGAAAGCACATAATCTTGTTAACTATCCTTAACCCAATCCCTGCCTTGCTTTCTCCCACCTCCACGTAATCTTCCTTAGGCTGCCTCCTGGATTTTAAATGCATACACTAAGCTGCAAAACTGTCATTCCCTGGAGCATCTGAGATCTTGCTACTAGGCACATGTCATCAGTTTAGCTCATCAACTCAGAAAAATTCTCTACAGGTTTGGATGTTTCTTACGGCAGCGCTACAATTTAACCATTCTAATGTTACAGGACATTTGAGTAATTTCCCACTTGGAAATTCTCAGATATGTCTTTTGGGAATGAATTATGTATTTCTGCTGGCTATACACCTATTGAGTGAAAAGCCTGAGTCGGAGTGTACACACCCAGCCAGCTCTCCTTGGACAAGTAGTTTCTAAAGGGATTGTAACCACTTTACACTTCTACCTGTACTGAGCTAGACCCTCCCAACACCTGGCATCTGCAGGCTTTTAAATTGTAGTCATTCTTGTGGGTAGGCACTGGAATTGTCTTTTGGTTTTAATGACAATAAAACTGAGCCCGAGGGCCGTTTTTTTGAGAGGCCAGGTGCCCAAGACAACTCCTCTGTGTAAGGACCAAAACTTCCCTGGGGAGTTTTTCTTCCATGGACAAAGAGTCTACTTGGTTTGGGCCTGTACCGAAGGTGAGAAGGTGGAACACCCTCGTACTCAACAGTGCAGCTCAAACCATCTTAACCGAAGAGGGGACCAGGAACCAGCGGAACAGAACTAGGTCACTGGTGAGGGGCCAGAATTAGCTGTTGAGGGGCACGCACATGCTGGTACAGCCAAGCCCGCCTTCTCTAAACACACACAATGCCCAGACTTAGAATTTCATCCCCTCCACAGTACTATGTAATGGAACAGAGCAAAGATAACTTTCGCGATCTGTTCCAGTGGCAGCTGAATTCCAGCCACTTATCTGTGGGAACCCACTCAGACCCCCATAGTTGATATGAAGATAATTTTAAACTGAAGGCATTTGAGATTTCACAGATGCAAACAACAGCTTTCTCAGAGCTTCCCTTATCTGATTAGGGGCAGAGACTTCCCAGAGCCAGGCCAGAACCAACGCCTTCTCCCAGGGATTTTCTCTGGGCAGAAGGAAGACAGTGAAAAAATGCTCACACCTGCATAAACAAACATTATCACAGATTTTCTTTCATATGTTTATCAATTTTTAGAGAGAAGTGGGGGAGGAGATGGGTGGAGGGAGAGAGACAGAATAAAAAACATCGAGGTGAGAAGGATCCATCCGCTGCCTCCCTCCTGCAGGCGTCCTGACCAGGGATCAGACCCACCGCCTTCCTGTAAACTGGACAACACTCCAACCAACGGAACCTCCTGGCCAGGGCCAGAGGTTTCCTATCTCCCACCTCTTCCTTTAAAAACCCAGCCTTTCCGTGGAAGCTTTTTCCTCCCCCTCCCTTTCCCCTAATACATTAGATTAGACGCCCTTATCTTTAATTATATGAAGGGGCCACTTCTTTTATGTGCTTCAAAGACACTTCTGTTAAGCTTTTTGTCAGTTACTCACTGAACCTCAATTGGTGGAGAAAGCAGTTCTCTTCCCAGCAACCCTTTGACTGGCAGCAGGACCCGTCATGTGGATGCCGCTCACCCCGGCCCAGGGTCCGTCCTCACACTGTTCAGCGGCACCAGTTACAACGCACGGTCGTCGGCAGATGCAAGGCCCGCTTGCGTGTGGTTGTAAGGGAAGAACACGGGTGTAATAACTTACCGTCTTAATTTGACCATTTCACCTAAAATGCCATATGGTGTGCGTGCTGCGATATTGTTATGTCACAGAATTACATGCTTATGGTTTTGCAATTAAAAGGGGGCGTTATTTGTGCCGGACCCTGTTTATGACTTTTTAAGTCTTCTGCTATCACAGTGCCCAAGTGGCCCACTGTCAAAGGTCTGGTGAGAAACCACCCAAATCCAGTGTTTGCAGTAGTGCGTTTTCTTCTCTGCGGGGCAGGGGCCTTCCCCATAGTGAACCCAGCCTCCTCACCAAGCCGGGCATCTTGCTGTGACATCCCCGCGCCCACCCTCCACCCCTACCCCGCTCATCTACTCAGAAGGGGGTTCAAGCCCCGGAAGCGCTGGGGCTCCGGATTTTACCCCTAAAAATAGCAGTCTGCTCGTCCCAGAGGCAGCGCTCGTTGCCCACTCCCCTTCCACTCCAAGTGCTGGGACATCGAAGCCTTTTAGCCAGGGGACAAAGGTGGGGCCCAAGTCAGACCAGCATTCTGAAAAGAGGATTCCATTTGTTGGTGTATGGTACATTTTTAGAAAAATCAAATGGAAAAGGGACCTGAAGTACACGTAATATTTCTCTCCTTTTTCTGGAGAGATACAGAGCCTACCCGCCCCCACCCCCGCCCCCACCCCGCAATGTTCAGCGCGGTCCCCGGCGGCCGGGCCTTGGGCTTCAGCCGCAGGGGCGCCCGGCTCATCACCCGAAGCCTGTGAGGAGCGAGGTGAGCCCCTGCCCCCGAGCTGCGCGCCTCCAGGCTCGCGGGACGAGGCGCACCGGCCCCCGGGGCGAGCTTACCTGCAGCGCTGCAGCGAGCAGTGGAGGGGCCGCCACCACTCGCGGGATCACCTTGGGCGGAGGGGGCAGAAGTGGGACGCGCAGGATTTGGGACCCGGACTCAGGAAGGGGTGCAGTGCAGACGGCTGGTGCGGGGAGAAGCGCCGGAGGTGGGCTGTGACTGGGGAGCGCGTAGGAGGCTGGCACCCACGGCCGAGCTGGGAACCGAGGGATCCCGTGGGCCCCCAGCTTCCCCCCACCCCGTGGTGGGTGGCTCAGGGCCTCGGCTCCAGGCTCGGCCGCCACCCTCCTGGCCGCTCGAAGAGCCCGAGCGCTGCGCGGGCTCCAGTCCCGTCGTCCTCCGGCGCCCAGAGGACCCGCAGCGGCGGCAGGTCCCGCGCGGACCCGCCGCCCACGCGCGCTCGGTCTTGGGCCGAAAGCCCCGGGACTTTAAAGCACCTGCGCAGCACGGCCCCCCAAACCGCTGAACGCAATCCCCGGGCCGGGATGCCGCACCTGCGTGTGCTAGACGCTCTCAAGGAGTCTCGCGCCTGTGATGCATTTTCTAAAGGGATTCAAGCGAGCGCCTGGGAGAGCTGCTAGCACGTCCAAAGCCCGCATTCGGTTTTAAAAAGACGCCGTTTCTGAATGCTTGGAGGCAGCCTCGTGTGAAAAATAACACGCAAGGGGCGTACTTACGTTCTCATGACTTTCTGGTTTTTGATTTTAAAAACTGGTTTCCTGTGGCAAGTGCCCGGCATTAAAAACACCAACCTGCACCTCTAAAACCACGGCCTGAATACCGGTTCTCACTGGGCCGCGTTTCAAATACACGCGTGCTCTTTTTTTAATTAGTGTTGTTTGCGACAGAGAACAGGTTAATGCCGCTGCGCTTAATCTGCTGCAAAGGAACTGGTCCCGCTCCCTCCAAAAGCTGATGGAGCAAACTGTAACAGTGTCCCCAGAGGCAATCCATCCACGCCCCGCTCGCCGTTCCTTAGCAGATGCAAAGGATGACAAGTGTCAGTACTTCATACAACTAGATTTAATAAGTTGTTATTACAGAAAAAAATGAAGTCCAAACTACAAAGTTTAAGCAGTTGTAAGCAATAGCTGCATCGAGCTCCATGTTTAGTCACAGTACTGCAGTTCCGTACAAGCAACATTAGTCCAAGCCCCGAAGGCGGAAGCTGAGTAAGGGTTACCAGAGCAAAAACAATCTGAGGACAGGTAATAAAAGATACAATACATTTAAAATTAGTTGTTAGTTGAAAAACAAATACAGAGATCTTAGCTGTGAACACTCTAAAAGTTATGTCCATTATTTTGACAGCAAAAATACAAATACCTAATACTTTATACCCCAACGGAACTATATCCTGTATTAGCACCCGAGTTTTCTATTTGTTGCGATTAACTTCATCGTCATACACATTTAAACATCCGCAAATCACATATCCACTTCTTGACTCATTTTGGGGTATAAAGTCAACAGCATTAATTATAAAATACTCTGTGGTAAAATGGAACACTATTGCAGCTGAGATAGAGAAGTCTGGTTATCATTAAAAAAGAAAACAGAAAATGTTAGCTGACATACCATACAAACTGGTGAAAAAGCAACAATCCATACAAATAAGCCAGATTTAACAAAAGGATACTTTTTTCACTAAGCTGTGACTAATCTTTCACTCAAACCTTGCAAGTAGAGATGTCACAATACTCAAATATTTAGGTAGGAGCTTTACCCAGTTAAATACCATTTTGTTGCTAATACAATAGATAAAATTAAAACTAGCAGTTATTTGCTAAATTGCATAAATGCAATACATTCTGCATTAGCCCATGCCTCACTAACAAGCTATAAAACACAAGATATAAGCAGAAATCTAAGCGTAATCTTTATACCACTAAGCAAGAATTTTCCAATTTCGTTTCTTCTGTTCCTAATCACTTATTTGTAGTTAATGTAAAATTCCAACCAGTAATACCCAATTTGAGTTAAAATTTTACATCACAACTTGATCTAATCTATATATTATTTACAAAACTGAATACACAGAGCATACCCAAAAGCCAACTCTGGACACACGTTTCTCCAAGTCATTGATAACCTCGCCTCCGTGGCAGTGGACCGGGAGAGGCTACCAAGGACTCACAGAAACACCCCCTGTCTAGAGCAAGTCATTGGATGTTCCGTTTACGCAACACCAGCTTTGCAGTCGGGTGGTTTGTTCGTGTTCACTTGAGGTGCCACCACAAGGACGCGCTGCCGTGACAGCACCGCTTCGAGGTGAGGCGGGTGTTGGAGAAGCAGCAGGAGGGCAGACAGATCATGCTCGGGAGTGGTGCCAGATGTGTTGCCACAATCAGGGACAATTAGGGACAAACAAGGGGCACCAGAACAGGGAGCAGGTGGGAGGTGAAGGAAGGCGGAGTCGGAGACTGTCCATATGCAGTGGTGGCGCCTGAGAGTGCCTCCAGGGTGCACTGCCCCGGGCCCTGCGGGCAACTCGGGGGAAGACGCCACCACCCGAGTCCAACTACACCGAAGGTGGTGTCCTCGCAGCAGCCTCCTCTGACTGACAGACGTCACCACTGTCAATGAATGGAAAAGATGTGGCCTGGGTGAGAGGCACTGTCTCACACATGGACAGCAGTTGGTGGCAATTCACACACACACGCGCACACACACGCACGCACACACACGACATAATGAAGAGTTAGAGGGGGAAAGCAATGAGTCATTCCGCTGACCTGGCCAGGTTCTCAACCCGGCGGTATTTCACTAGGGGTGACTTCATGATCAGAGCCACAGAGTGGGCTGCACTGGTGTTGTATAAATCCACTGTGACATCCCCAGAGAGCTGTACTGTGACATCCCTAATCTCACACTAACCCACTGGAACAAAGGAAAAGGCTTGTCAAAATCTCACATGTTCTGCTCATTCTGTCATTTTATTACCCAATTGTTCATTACAGTTTCCAACCACTTTACACACCCAACCGTTTTCACTGTTGTCACACTATTGTAAACCACATCAGCAAGTTAATACATAAAGCTTTGCATTTCAAAAAACTAGACACTTTAGTAACAATATTACAAAGGTTTTAGCTTCAAAAATAACTGAAAATGAAAAAAATAAACTTTTAAAGAATTAGCATCATAAAATTAATTTATTCCAAGTAAAAATACAAAATAATATTATGACATTGACCAGATATGAAAGTCCCTCCCAGAAACAACTCTATTAATGATTGAGAAAGCACTCCTTAAAGAAAATACGAAATAAAATGAAAAATATGTAAATATGTTTAATTTTTTTCTTAGCAAAAAATCTTTCTAAAAATAACAATGAAAATTTGTCTCAGTACAAAGGCTACATTACTATTGAAAAAATACCAGCATGAAGAAAAGGTACATATTTGACAGTAGAAAAATGATTTCAGTGAATCACAATGTCTAAAGTTTGCAATGAAAATAAATCTGCAATAAAGATTTATGCCTTTTTTCTTTTCTTTTTTTTTCTATTTTTTATACAAACAGTACAAACAGTATTGCACATAACAACAAATAGTCGAGGTTAGGTTATAGCCTTCAAAAAATCGACTAGTTCAAGTGTCACGTCAAGGAAAGGCCACAACAGGACCTGTGATACCCAGGGGCTTCCCAGTCAAGTTGCAGGTCAGAACACCTCTGTGTTTTAAAAAATAATTTTTTTGAAGGACCCTCTCTTTTAATATAACATTAACAACTTGGGGGCACATTTATTTACAAAACAAAAGGGAACATGTTATAATTTAATAAACTAAAAAAGTTCTCTTTAAAAAAATACAAACAGAAGAACTCTTTCACAATCCTGGTCAGTCGTGCACAATCAACGCTTGATTATAAATATACAAATGAAGGGAAAGTCGTTTCCACCATCTATCCGCAACTTTCAGCACCAAATGGAGTTTATTTTTTGTAACCTATTCTTCGTGACAATGTTTTCTCGCTTTCATGTTAAGCTTTATGCTGTACAATCTTTCAGCTTTTTAAAAATCTCAGTGTTATTTTAGTACATGAAAGAGGGGTGCTTCTTCAAAAAGTTTTGCTTCTTTCACATAATTAGGTAGATTTCTGTAGGTTAGATATGATCTTTAATATTATAGTTATAAAGCTCTAACTTCTTCATTTTCAAAAAACACAAATAAGCATGAAAAAAATAAAGTTACCCATCTGTTAAATCATTTTTCTTGCAGAATTAAATTAATATATATTTTTCTGAATAAACTTACTTAGAAAATATCATTTTCTCTCCTATATTTCAAAATTGAGGTATTGCAAAAGATCGTGTCAGTCAGAAAGCATGCCTTTTTCCTTAAAAACAAACAAACAAAAAAGTCTTCAGCCAGCTTTTGAAAACTGTCTAGAATACAAAAGTAGTAGTGCATAACAAAATTTCTTGTACAGGTGAAAAAAAACACAAACACAGAAAGAAAGAAAAAAACAAAAACAAACAGAAAACCACAGCTGGGCTGGAAAAAAGCGATTATTACCAAAAAGCCCAGAGGTAACCTCAAAGGGGGAGAATTCTAATAAGCATTTTTAATCCAGTAAAAAACTATTTTGTTTTTCCTTTTTGAAACAAACTATAGTTTGGGAGCTGGTAATTGCAACTGAACGCTGGAGAAACAAAACGGAACGGAACGGAAACGAGCAGTATCAACTTAGGACGGCACAAGGACATCACAGCACACGGAACACGGCGATTTAAGTCTACTCTGCAGTGTCATATCCAGTCAGATTGTCCCCAGAATTCCAAAACATAGGAAGAAGATTAAAACAAATTTACGTAGTCTCACAACCGTTGTGTGTGTTTATATATTACTATCTGCAGCCCAAGAGTGAATGCTAAAAAAATGTCCATGGTAGTATTAGCAGGTCTGAATTCTATTCAAGCTTTACAGGATAAATCCAGGGAATTAAGTAGTTAATTTCTTACCCAGACAACCAACCCTGCCCAGGCCATCTTGTTCCGTACAGACATTTCTTTAGCATCACCAGCACGCAACTTTCTTAAAATGTGCCTAGTCTGTCAATCTGACAACTTATCTCTATATACTGTATATATTCCTAGTGTTTGTAAGCTAAGATGAGCTCTTTGGTTTTCTGGACAAGGTCTGAAGCTATGTAAAATGGTGCAAGCACTAGGAGATTGTAACTAAGAGCTCATGTGTTAGTTAATAGTATACCAGTTATGAACTGTCAAGTTCATTAATGTCTGACACAGAGGCTTTTAAACAGTTAAGTTTGATCACAGTTAGACATAATCACTTTACTATATAAAATAAATTGCACAATATATAACAGAGCACCGCAAAGTACTTCATCTACCATCCACAAATTTGCTTTAAGAATATCCTACACCTAGGTTTTATATTGGTTGTAATATAGGTCATTCTGTTATGGGCTCTTCCTAATTTCAGAAGCATTCCGTTTATTGAGGCATGCCTTCCTCCGGTCAATTACCAATTCTTTGAATAAAAAAAAATCTTCTTTAAAAAAATCAGTATTTTATAGCTTATATAGATTCTTAATTTGTGCATTGTGGGAAGGTTTTATACTAGACATTGGATATAAAATTTATTGCATGCAGCAACCTGATTAAGTAAACATGCAATCAGAAATAGTGACCTTCCGTTGAAGCTTTCTGAAATCTATTCCGATCTCCTTTCGGCAGCTGATTCTATCCCTAAATCACAAAAGTGTGTTGTTGGGCTTTTTTTCCATTGATACCTTAGCCTGAATAGAGTATTATGGTATTAATAATACCATTTTAATAGCAGCAAAAGCTATTGCAGCATAAATTTACATAACACTAAAAAATCTAACCAAAATCCTCAGCAAAATAAAAATCAAACGTGAAGGAAAAATAGGGATTCAGCTTATGAGGTATCCTTACATGTCAAAATAGAGAGCAACTAAAGGCTTATTTTCATTAAGGGTTTACCTTGCTCTAAATGACCCCAACTATGATTGCTGAGCTGTTGTGAAGTTTTTGCTACATCTGCCACCTACTCACAATTATTACCTTTGGTAAGTCTTCTCCTAGGGGCAACTCTCTAAGTTTCTGAAAATAAGTGCATGCTCCAGTTCAAAAACAATCGGAACAACAACAACAACACAACAACAAACAGAAAAATCACAGACATCAACCTGATGGCGGCGGGTGAGAATGGCAGTCTACGCACTGTCACCAGGGACAAACTGGGGTGAGAAACGAGGGTACCAAGCAGACAAAGGTGTGAGAATCAAAGTGCAAATCAGTACCGTTATACACTCTGCAATTTTGCATTATACTGGACATCGAGTTCAGTAATATGACTGTAAATAATAATAATAATAAAAAGACCCATTTCTTCTTTAAAAATCGAGAACGAATGCACAGATTTCCAGAACACTGTAAGCCCTGAGGCGGTGCCCTCTCTTTTCCCTCCTCGCTATCCACTCCAGTACTTGTGGCCGGGTCTGCCCGGGCTCAGCTCCAGCGGAACGGGACGTGCCGAGGGCGGTCGCCTCCCTCCTTCACCAGCGGTTTGTGGAACTCCCGCCCGGCGCGCGAGTGTATGCTCGCCCAGCAGTATTCGCAGTAGTACTGCAGGCAGGTGACGTTGGCGCAGAAGAACGGGGCGAACTTCCCACCGCAGCGCGTGCCCTGGCACTCGTCACACATCTGGTCGTCCAGCACGTATGGCTTCACTTCCACCTGGATGCAAAGAGGAGAGACAGGACAAGGTTTAGCACGGCTTCCTCACGCTTCTCCCTGTCCAGAGTGGACGGTGTAGCCCAGTGAGACGTCTCAGTCCGAGGCCACTTGGAACTCAGCTAGTACAGACCGTAGCTGAGAGTGCCGGCGTTGGAATCTGCTCCTCGTCTCCTCGATGTGTGACTGTCAGCGAATTCTTACCTCCGTCCGTGCTTCCGCGTGCTCTGAGTACCTGTGAAGTGGGTGTAACGCTCACACACACACTCACTCGTCTGTCTGTAAGATGGAAAACTGAAGTCTCCCTCAGAGGGTGCGGGTGAGGATGAAGACAGGCAGCACAGGTGAAGTCACCGGCACTGAATGTGGAGGCCAGGTGGCACCTGACAACACAGGACAAGAAAGAGCATTTTGGGGAGAGGAACCAGCTGGGACGAAGCCTGGTGCATGCAGGGCACGTGCCTGGGGACCGGTGTGGCAGGAGCCAGGCCAGAGGGGACGCGCCGCCTGAGACTGGCGAGGCAGGCCCAACGAAGGGCGGCGCCGCCATGGGGTGCTGGGCTTCTCGTTTTAAGGACAAGGCTGAGACCCCAGTACTGTGTTCAGTGGGCTGGAGGGAAGGGGGGACTAGTGAGGTGGTGAGAAGCTACATTAATAATTGAGCCTTTTAAAAATGTTTTGGACTTTATTGCCTGAATTTTCCTCAAGACTGAGAGCTTCAATAGAGGAGGGATTTCCATCACAGTCCTGGGGGCAGGGGCATTTTACACTCTAAATGAAGCAAGGCAAACACAAATTACCTCCCCCCCATGTCCCCTTCCCCTAGAACCTCAGAAAAGGAACATCATTAATGGTTCATCTCACATGTTAGACATTAGCACGAAGACGACAAATCTGTGATCAGGCTCCAACCTCCAGAGCCATTCTCGGAAGGAGCAGCCACTGTGGCCACTGGGGCCACGGTGACAAGGGCCCACCGCTATTTGACGTGACAATTTAGGCTGCCTCTGGATGCAGTCAGGAGGTGCTGGCGGGGCGCAAGGTGAACAGGAAAGGTGGGGACAGCCTTGGATTAGACACTCGGCGTCCCTGGTTCTCCCTCCCTTCTGAAGGCCCCTTTGCTGGCCTGGCCTCCTCCGGGGTTTTGTCTCTAGCCAAGCGTCCCAGCCCAGCCCACAGGTCCACGGGCCAGCCAGCTCTTCCTACTTGGAAAGCCCACCCGAGAAGACCTGCGCCAGGTCCTGGTTAGCCAGGGGAAACCGCCTCTACTCTGGCTTTAGTTCCCTACCTCCTACCTCCTTATCCCCAACCTGAAAGGCAGCAAGGGGGCTTCAAAAAAGTCTCTCACATTCGCCTTCGCATCGTAATTGAAAATGTAGTGGGGTTCTGGTGTCACCTGCCTGGGTTCAAATCTAGTCTGTAGCTGTGAAACCTTGGACAAGTTTCTCAGCCACCCCAGCCCCTGTGTCCTCGTCGGTGCGCTGGAGGAAAAGAACAGCTCATGCTTTATGAGGCTCCTGTGAGGACTGAAGGAATTAAACCACGAGATGCACGCAGAACAGCGCCTGGCACGGCACAAGCTCCAAGAGCAGTCGTCACTCCCGCTGCTTCCTGTCTGGTCCAGGCCATGGCGACACGCACCTGGGTGTGTTCAGTGCTGACGGCCCTGCACCGGCCCCAAACGCCGGGCTTCCCGGGTTCGATTCTTCCTGCGCATGCTGACATTTCAAGAGCCTCATCAAAAGCCAGATTCTCCAGAGACTTCATGACCTGCCCTAATCTCACTCCCAACCGATTCCCAACTCAAACTCTACCTGGTTTTTTATTTTTACTTGCACTTTCTGCCCACCTTAAATGCTCTCCTTTAATGCCCAGCCCACCCAACAATTTCATGTATCAAATGAGGCCCAATCTTTCTTCTATTTTTCTTTTTTAAGATAAAAGTAACAATTCTAAAGTGAACAATTTAGTGGCACTTAATACACTCACAATGTTGCACAACTGCCACCTCCATCTACTTTCAAAACACTTCCATCACCCCAAAGGAAACCCTGTTACCCACGAAGCAGTTACACACCCCACCTCTCCCTGGCAACAACCAATGCACTTTCTGTCTCTCAAAATTGTCCTATTTTGGATATTTTATTTTATTTTCAAACTGTAAGAGAAATTTTATTTTGAAAAACTGCAGAGGTGGAAGTGATCCACAGAAGCAATGGGCTCAGGAAACAAGCCACAGAGGCACAGGGAGGGGCCCTGGGAGCTTAGCAGAGAGAAGGCAGAGGTAAGGCCCCCCCCTCCCCCGGGGATGGGCGTGTGGAGGGGACGGGAAAGGCACAGGCGTGCTCCTGGGAGAGGGGTGCTGCTCTGCACACTCTACATAAATGCAATTACATGCTATCGAGTCTGGCCTTTTGAATCTGGCTTCTTCCACTTACAATATTTTGAGGTTCCTCCACATTGCAGCATGCAGCAGTATTCCACTCCTCTTTACGACGGAATAATAGTCCATCACACATCAATGCACACACCACATTTTATCTATCATCTCCTTTGGTGGTGGAATTTTGGGCTGTTTCCACCTTTGGGCTATTGTGAACGGTGCTGCTGTGAAAGTATGTACATATTTTTATTTCAATACCTGTTTTCAATTCTTTTGAGTGCATGCTTAGGAACAGAACTGCTGGGGCACGTGGCAATTCTCTTTAACTTCTGAGGAACTGCCAAATTGTCTTCCACAGAGGCTGCAGCACTTTATGCTCCCACCAGCAGGTGCCAGTGCAGGTTCCTCTATGAGCTCCTAACCGGTGCCATTTCCACTGGTGTGATCACTGCCATCCCAGCAGGTGTGAAGAGGCGCCCCACTGTGGTTTTGATTTCCAGTTCCCTGCTGACGAATGCCTTTGAGCTTCTTTTCCATGTGCTTAGCCATTTGTGGATCTCCTCTGGAGAAAGGCCTACTTCAAGACATTTGCCCATTTTTTAATTTTGTTTGTCTTTTTGTTGTTGAGCTGCAAGAGTTCTTTATATATACTAGATATTAGACTTTTATCAACATATGATTTGCAAATATTTCCTCCTATTTTGTAGGTCATGTTTCGCTTCCTTGATAGTGCCTTTTCATGAACAAAAGTTTTGAATTTTGATGAAGTCCAATTTATCTGGGTTTTTTGTTGTTGTTGTTACTTCTCCTTTTGATGTCATTTAAGAATCCACTGCCAAATGTAAGGTCATGGAGATTTACTCCTGTATTTTTCTAAGAACTTCATGGTTTTAGCTCCTACATTTAGGTTGACTGATTTTGAGTTAATTTTGCATATAGTGTGAGGAAAGGGTCTACTTCATTCTTTTGCACGTGGCTATCCAGTTGCCCACAGCACCATTTGTTGATGAGATTTTTCTTTACCTACTGAATGGTCTCGGCAATCTGGCCAAAAGTCTACGAGAGGCCCAGCCTTCTTCAACTGTTTCAGTCCCTCAGGGGTCTATTCCTTCCTCCTCTGACTTATCACTCTGCATCGCTTATCTGGCGTTTCCTGTCTGTAGTCCTGCCATGGCCAGTGTCTCTCCTTTGCTTCAAGAAGAGTCCTGGAGTAGCACAGGGCCGTGGTAGATCTAGGGACGAGTGTGTCTGCAGAGGTTATGGACTCCTGAGGGAAGAGAGCTACACGTTTACCAGTGCATCTAACCTGGTCTCATGCCCCCGAATCTGAAGGCCAAGTGGGAGCCACAGTGGTGGAATGAATCCCCTTGCCCTGGGGCTGGAGGACTGGTAGCGGCAGGGTAGGCAGGGAAAGGGTGGCAGCCAGCTTTTCCACCTCAGGCCATGAGCTGAGTGAGGACCGCTTTGCTTCTACCACCAGGCAAGGCAGGTGCCGATTCTGGGGCGTCCCAGCAACCAGACCTGAGCCCCAGCAGGTCTAGAAAAGGGGACCCAGCAGTCAGAGAGAAGGCTGGACTGAACTCACAGAATCCACACTCAGCAGAAGAGGAGGAGGAGGCTGGAGGAGGAAGACAACAGCCGTCTGTAGCTGTAGAGCATACAACTAGGAACAGCGCACTGACGGGGACTCGAGTCTGCGCAGAGGAGACTTTCTGGTGGTTCTCAAACAAACAAGCAAACAAACAAGCAAGCAGCACAGCTGCTTTTGTTCAGGTGTAAAACCAGTGTTGTGGCTACGTGGGGTCTTTTCCTTCAGGATCTCTCTTTTTAAGAGCATAAATCAATTTTTAAAATGAGGTTAAAGTCACACAAAACTAACAATTTTGAAGTGAACGATCCAGGGGCGTTGAACACATGCACAGTGTCGTGTAACCGCCACCTCTGGGGAGTGCCAAGACGTTTTCATTGAGGCTAAAGGAGACCTTGCACTCCCAATTTTGTTTTTTAAAGCACTCTTTTAAAGAGGTATTACTGAATCATTTAACTGAATTATTTCAGGATAAAGTTATATGATGCCTGGGATCTGCTTCAAAACAATCTGGGGTGAGGATGGGTGGGTGGAGGTGCAGATGAGACAAGGCTGGTGCCAGGTCGGAGATCACTGTCGCTGGGCAAGAGGACGCTGGATGCTGGAATCAGACGATGGGGTTTGTTACACTCCTCTCTGTACTTTTGCTGCATTAGAACGTTTTTTTTTTCTCCCCATGCCTCAAGGAGGAACAGCACCGCATCACACCACCCACTGAAGCGAGACAACACAGCATGCTGCCGCTTCGCCCAAAAGTGGTGGGAAACGTTTTTATTATTTGGAAGCAAAAATATTTAAACTGACTTTTTGAATAATTAAGTTACCAGATGAATTGAAGAGAGGATAATCACTATTGAGACATGGTTTAGTGGCCTAAAAGATCAACTGGAAGAAGTATTTCAAAGCTCTGGAAAAAATAATTTAGAAAAGTAAATAATGAGAGAAAAGGTAAAAAATTTTAGACTAGATCCAGAACCTAATATATACATTACAATAGCTCCAGAACAACAACAAAAAAAGACACAAGGAAAT